TGTCTGGTAAATGGGAGGGTGGGAAGGAAAAGCTACATTGCTTATTATTAAAATCAAAAACGTTTTTTTCTATTTGTTACACTTATAAGCTTTACACAAAAGCAAGCGTTTGACACCGACACCCCTGCATTCATTTTTTTGTGAAAGAAATGCCAGAAATTGCGCAGGTTTGGCAGTTAAAATTATAAGGAAAGGACAAACCTCAAGGCGCATCTGCATGAGACTTATCTGGATAGGAACTTGTAGGAATTGACACAAACAGATGGCAGTACACTGCAGGAGTTGTGTTATAGGACATTTGTGATGGGTAACAGTAGGGATATTTTCAATATTTTAACAAAACATTTATAGTGAAATGCCAAAGCATGTGTCATCTATTATACATTAATATACAATATAAAAAATGGCTGTAGTGTACTTATAATGTTGCAGTCGGTATGCATGTGCGTGTATAATGCATACACTCTTACAATGTCTTATATATAAAAGATGCATGTTTAAACATTGCGTTTTATTTGATACATTTTTCTGTTCTCAAAGCAGACAGGTATGTTCTGGTGAATGAATCTGAAGTCCCACAGTCTTTACAAGGCAAAGCAGCTTATAAAAATATTGCGGTCAAGTTCCTGCTGATGGACACATGTATGTGTGTGTGCCTGCCTGTGTGTGTCCGCGCATGTGTTAGGTGTTTCTGACAGGCCGGCCTCACCTGCTGGGCTGTTCTCTGACTGGGCTATAAGGGCTGCCATGGCGGAGTTTGGATTCAGACGGTTCCCAAACATGTGAGATGGAGCCAGATTAAAGGAGGAGCCAGGTAACGCATTTGCCTGAAAGAACAAACACAGGCATATTCAAACCACCTGGAAGTTTCAGCATCTAGAAATGTGACGTTTGCAGAGCGAATAGAGAGTGAAAAAGGGAAAAATAAGCTGTTCATATCGGAGACAAAATCAAGTGTTAGATTACTAAATCAAATAAATCTAGCCAATGTCTCTAACCTGTCCATTACAGCATACTCAATCTATATTGTATCTATACCAGAAATTATGGAGGTTTAAGCCTTGAAAAAAAACACTGAAGCTCATGTTAAATTCCAGGCTGGAGATGGAGCTGTGATCAGACTACGCCACGTGTTCTGTACAGACGGCAACAATGCACATTGCAGGACTCTGACCATGTGGTTCTCTCGCTAATTATTTAATCTAATTAAATCATTTCCTAAGCAAGGGCAGGTAGACAACATATGTCTAACAAATGCCTCGCTCTTCAACATCGTGGGTTGCCTGTAGAGGTTAAAAGCTCTGCCTAAGAGACCGGTTTTCCTCTTTCAGAGCTGCGTCTTCGGTGAGCCTGCACGGTATTCAGTTCCTTCCTTTGCTTACAAAAAAAACTGGAAGGCGGACAAGATTTTTTTTTTGAGGGAGGGGGGGAAGCCTACAGGCATGGCAAGCATGCATTTTTACATAATGCAGGTCTGGCCTAATCGTGGTTACCCTGTGACCCCGTCCAAGAAGCTGGGAGTTTGGCAAGCGTCCAGCCCCACTAACTGAAGGCTCTCGTCTGTATTCATTCATGGTGCTAACCACAATCCTGAAGGCCTCTCCTGGGAACGCTGCCAAACCAGGCAAATGAACTCTCTAACAGATCAAACTGCCCCGCCTGGCCAAATCTGTTGCGTAACCCAGTGCAATAAAAATGCCTTCCCCTGGCTGTGTTTACTTTCGCTCTTTCGAAGAATATATAACTTTCGCTTATTAGCCCGACTGCCTCCTTAACTTCTCAGCATCTGGTAGCAATGTAATAGCAGGCTAAGGCAGGCGAGAAAAGTCCTCCCCCCTCCTCCTCTGTCTGCAGACGGGCAGCTCTGTCTCGAACCCCCTCTTCCGCTACGCGGTCGGAGTAGACTGCTTGCCCTGATCAATCAAGAGTGCCGCAATCCTGACACAGTTTTGGAATCCTTTCTAAAACATGCATGAAAGGGTTCTGGGAAAGCCTGGGGGAAAAAAAGGCAGATCACTGTAATTTCAAAAACAAAGAAACTAACTGCAAACGTAGCTTACGTCCTCTAGATATATCACGATAAACCTGCCAGTCATTCATGTGGACGGGGAAGAAACTTTCAGGAGTCTCAGCAAGAGAAACAACAACTTTCACATTTCTCAGAAACAGCAAAACAAACAGAAATATGGACTTGTTTCTGCTCCATTATTCACGATTCTTCTGAAAAGTCTTACCCAGGCCTCGTGATTCAAGATGCAGGCTGCGATGAATCAGGGCACAGTTCTTACTTCTAAAATTTACTCTTTTGCTTAGATCTTCTAAATTGTACTTCTAAAAGCAAAATCAGTTTGGGGTTCTGAAGACATCTGTTCCATTATCTTGATACTCATATCAGGTAACACCAACAGTAAGAATCAATTAGTAGTTGCATTATTTTACATTGTTTATAATTTTGTATATTTGAGCAAGTCATTACATTTGTATATCCTCCATATTGAATTGCCTATTCAATCTGACCTATTTTATTGCTCACCACACTAAAAAATGAAAGTCTCCAGTTTTGACTATGGTTCGTATCATCAGGAATTTCAAAGCAAGTGAGATAGTTGCCATCCAACCAGGCAGAGGACGTAAATTAAATTAAGCGCTACTTAAATGTAAAGTAAGGAAAATGGTATAAGAGATTAACTCATACCCAAGGGTACCAATTCAGAATCATTAAGAAAAATTCTGGCATCATTAGGATAGCATGTCTCCAAGACTACCATTGAAGGCTGACCTCATGAATCGGATATTTAAGGCAGAGTTCCATGGCAAGACGAAAAGAATGGACATGGATTTGCCAAATTGCAAGTAATGGATTTCCACGTCAAACGGGACCAAAATATGAGGTGAGATGAAACACAAACTGAGTTTTTGGACAGTCTGACCAGAAGAGAAAGACCAGGTGGAAAAAGAATGGCACGTCCCTTCTTTGGAAAAAAAAAATAACTATCTAATTCTGCTTTCAAGCTGTTTCACATCCTCCGGTCCAGCTGCTGAGGGCCACACGGTTTCCACAGTTTGCCATATTAGCCAAAGCCGGGCATCTTCTATCAAAAACCTTGAGCACAGTTGTAAATAGACTGAACAAGAGGATGATGAAAATCCTGAAACCAACGCAATGACCAAATGGTTACAAGGCCACAAAACCATTTCTTTCTTGATCAGTTACACCCATCTCTAAGGTATGAGCTGAAGAAAGCAGATTAAAAGAGCAGGCTTAGCATCCAGGAGGAGCTCAAGGCGTTCTGCTTGGAGAACCCCTCCAGAGAAGCTTAACAACTTATGAAAGGGCTACAGGAATCACCTCCTTGAACTTATTTAAGTCAATGGAAGGTTCATAAGACAGTGACCACAAAAGTATTAAGAATAATAACAACATTTCGATTTTTTAAAAAACTTTGGTTCTATTTAAGCATACCACTCTTAAGGTTTTGGATTTGTATCTAAAAAAACAGAATGGATATCTGGAATATTTCAGATTGAATTCACGAAAGGTGCAAATAAATCTGGAAGTTACTTTATATTCTTTTTTTTTTTTAAATTAGGACTCTGACATCCGCCAGAGGACACGTGAAGACAACACAACTTGACTGCTGCAGAACGAAGAGGATTAAACCAAGGACTGGATTTCGCTAATTCAGCTATGGTGGGATTCTAGTGCTGTGTTTGATAGGTATGCCCAAGTCGATTCAAAGAGCCTGTGCTCCTAGCCCTGTTGGCACAGTCTGTGTATTCTTGCCCTCTCTGTGGTGCAGCTCCAATATGAGAGCAAGGCTGTTTTCTTGCAGCTTCTCCCAGGGTCTTTAACACAGTAAAGAGCAGCAGCAGCCCCCTGGCCCCCTTTCTCTTTCAGCCAGGACACCCCGCCCCCTGGGGCAGGGTTTTCCACGCGCAGTGCGTGACGGGAGATGAAACCAAGTGTGAACGACGCTCAGGTCCCACGAGCACGGCCCACTGTTGAAGCTGTCAGGTTCAATCGCATCACTCCACGTTATTCAATGCCACAAACTGCACCTAATTGTTAGGGGCTTAACATATTCACGGCCATTGTTTAGGTTAATGCTGAAATGCCTACGGTAGACCTCGTACGGAGGAGGAGGAGGAGGAGGGGTCGGACAGCGGTACACCATGACCGAACACTCATTCATAGGCTGAAAGTGCAGGGGGAAAAAAAAGGCAGAAGAAAAAAAGTTACAAGGACGAAATGACAAAGGTGAAAATCGTAGCTTCACCCTCTGGTTGATCAAATTAGCACCTAAGCGGAGCTGCAAGAACTGAATTTAAACATCATACATACACAGATTAGAGACTGGGCCAGGGGGGAGTGAGTTCTGAACACAGCCGTGCTTTCTTAGCTTGGTTACATGACGGTTCAAGCAGGTTTTACATTATTCTTACACTGACAGAAAAATGGTCTCCCCACAATTTCTTTCTTAACTGATGTGCTCCAAAAAGAAGCTAAACGGAAAAGAAAATGCAAAGATAAGAAACTTATTCAAAGAGGTATGCGCCATAAATGCCATGGTGAAGATACTAGACTAGGTAATTTTAAAGTCACAATTCTCTAGTGAATCCAATTACTACAAAATTAAAAAAGCTACAGCTATAATAGTTTTAAGATTTTTACAGGTGATTTCCCAGACTAAGACTTACTTCTCCCAGACTGCTATCTTAAGCACAAAGCAGTTTGACCATTAAAGTGGTAGGCCGCAGTACTAATTATGCACGATAATCAAGTCAGCATTGGGATGCATTCAGCCAATTCAGTGACAGAATTGTTAAAAGACTATATCTGAATGCTTTAAATTGTGAGCACATCATGCAGTTTCCCAGTACTGTCTAACAGCGAGGTGAGGAGTCTATCCTGTTAACTGCATGTCCATCCTGATACAGCTGCTCCCTGCCACCTTGAACACCAGGGTTACTTCGGTTCACACAATAAAATGGGCACCGAGTCGGCTGCTCCTGCTGAGATACAAACTCTCAGTGAGGAAAACAAAAAAAAAAAGGATCAGGGCTTTATAAAAGCCCCAGTCCACATTGTCCGTAATGGGACTGAAAGAGTGGACACAGCCAGTTAAGTGCAGTAACAGTGGGGAAACAGAAGGGGAAAAGTTCCCACTATCAATAACATGGCACTACTACTACGGTTCTGAAGCTGCTCTTGTTTTTGCTCATCCGCCTGATCAATTGGGAGCTGTGGTATTGTCACCATCAAAGGATTCGAAAAAAGGCACTGAGCGCAGATTTGCACAGGCAGAGAATCATCCTGCCCGCCAAACATGCAGCACGTGTGACAAAGATCGATCTGCCCCAGCCTGCCAAAGACAAACACACCGGTAGTGGATTAAAAAATGCTCAAGAAAAACATTTTTCGCAAGTGAATTTATGTTTTGATTTTGTAATAAAAAGAATGCCAATTACACTGGGTCATTTTCTAAATCCCTGACAATTTACCACATCGTTTTTTTCTATAAAGAAATTGAAATGAAGAAGGGGTGTGAAATGTATATTTGTAAAATGGCTAAATGCAACAGCCACAAGAATCAACAGGTAGCTCTCATGCTCCTTAAAGTGGGTGAATGTTGGGTGAGTTTTGGGGTGTGTAGGGATTACAATGAGAAAGACATCACTTTCTCAGAATGAGAAAGTACACAAACAGCTCAGGATATTAATTCTTATTAGGAAATGGATAAGCAGGAGCTAACATTTAAAATGTCTTTCTAACTTAATGCTCCATAATCCTTTACAGGAAGGACGCAGACAATTCACATTCAGATGTACGGATTTCTGAAGATTTTACTCTAGTGCTTCTTACTTTGACTACTAGAGTAAGCCACAAGATCTACAACAAGGGGCTCTCCTATTTCTAGATGTTTATAATGTCATATCTCAGCATCTGTCCTGTCAGAAAGATTTGAAGTCAGTAAAACTTACCAATCCTTCTTATGACTACAACATGCATCAGTTACTCCTAAATGTTGTGTCATTTAGTGATAGAGCTTTCAGTTACTATGCTCCACAAATCTTTAGCGTCATTCCAGCTTCTTCTATGGACATAGAAACTAACTTGAATTTACACTGTCTTTTCATAAGCTTTTAAGTTCAGTCTGTACTGGTTGCAACAATATAGAACTTATGAGCTCTGTCATGATTCGACATAAAAGGAAAAACTGGGAAAAAAAAAAAGAATTCCAGTCATTTTGTACTGGATGCAGCACTGAAATGCAGCTTTCCAACTGGCTACGCGTGCTGCATTAAAACAAAAAATCTTTGAATCCTGTCTGGAATGTTGACAAGAGTTTAACTACAAAAGGTATCCATGTGCATGACAGTCAGCACATGGAAAAGACAAGACATTCCCTAAAGAACATCTTCTGCTTTGCCTTTGCTCTCTCCTTGTTCAGCATCCCTGCTATCCTCTTAGGCAACTGCACAGAAGTAGGGCCATGCGCAGTTCAATAAAGAGGTCAGCGTGTCTCAGTTGCCTGGAGACTGATGGTTGCTACAGCAGCACGAGATAAGACGAGCTAAATCAGCTTCTGCACGCAGTCACAGAGCAGAGAGCAAGCCGTGCCCATCACAGCATGGGGCAGTCCGGAAAAATACACAACAGCGCTCCGCTGGTAGAGCAGAATATCTGGGTGCACTGAGGCCAGCTCTGCTGCAAAGAAGAGCAGTGCATACAGAAGGGAACAAATATTGCACTTCTGTATCTGAGCCCTTATTGTTCTTCCAGTAAAGTCACGTTGTGCTCAGAGAATGCACTAGTCAAAGTCCCCACCATCATTACACACTGCCCCCCAGCCTTTGTATTGAATTCCTTTCATTCCCAGAGACAAAACGCAAATACGCTCATGCAGCAATCTACCTATAAACACCAGGACTGCATGCTTAAGTACAATGTCCTCAAACTCTGGACAGCAGATTTTCCGAGGCTTGAGGCCTTGAAACGGGCATATTCTAGGGAGCAGATACATGGGGGTGGGCAGGAAACAATACCCTGCCTACTACATCACTGACTTTGCAGTCATTACAAAACACTGGTCTAAATGATGCACAAGGCTGCTTTAAATGGACTTTCAGGAAAATAGGCAAGAAATCTTTGTCTAATAAATGTTATGCCTCTAAATGAGGGGGAGGGGAAATAATTTAGAAATTACAAGCTACAAATGAGAAGAAAAGTATTGGCCCGTCATGCTTGTCTGGTTGTTCGTAGCTGCGTCTTAAAAGATTTCAAATAGTTAAAACCTGGCTAGGGTTTTGTGTTCCAGTCTCTGACAATCCTGCATCTCCTTTTCCACCTGAATGTTCCTGTTCAGGGGAGCCCAGCAATATGCTGTTGTATGCAATTTCAAACGGTAGGTTCATCACACGACTCCACAGTTTCTCGGGGACATTTGGCGACGGGGAGAGATTTGAAATCTGCCTTTAAATTGAAGTTGTTTTGTAAATTCAGCATTATGCATCTATAAATAGATAGGAAAGGTCTGGACCACAGGCGTAGTACAGGTTTTCATAGTCACTGTAATCCAAGTGACACTAACACCCCCCCCCCCCGCACAAACCTGAGTGCACACCACGCTGGAGAGGGGGGTCGCCGTGGGAGGGAGAAGCAGTGAGGGGGCGGCGGGCGGCGGCGGCGGCGCCCTGGTCTGCTGAGGTAACTCGGAACTACGCAGAGGGGTGCTGCAGCTGGAGGCCGACACCGCGCTGGGCAGGGACACCAGGACATCGCCGCTGGGGAAGGCACCTGCGGGGACACAACCAGCGCCGAAAGGCATTAACAGGGTCTCGCGCCGTCCGTTCCGCGCGCCCCTGCCGGCGAGCCCCACCGCCACGCCGCCATTTCCGGCGCCGAATCGCACCCTTCGGCGCCTCAACCCGGAGAGACCAGCCATTCAAGGCGCGCTGGCCTGCTCCTTTTCAGCTGCTGCACTCCTGGAAATAACTCAATTCTTAGTTAAAATTTCCTTAAATTGACATTTAAAGATAGCAGCTTCAGGGGAAAAAAAAGGCGATTTAAACTGTTCAACATTCAGGTGCAATTCAAACATTTTATGATACTTGGCAACGGGACAAAAATCAGCATGGTGCAGATACAATATAAACACACAGCCTTCTAGCAGAAAGAATAAACCCAGAAACACACCCCAGCATATGTATTCCTGAGGAATTATAGCCATTGTGTAATTTGAAAATGAAAGCGTTTGAAAGCAAAGACATCCAAAATAATAATTTACACTTTGACACGGGGATCTTTTTAAGCAGCCAGTTCAATAACTTTAGTACAGCACATCTGAGGGAAAGTCAACTGAAAAATATGTCCAATCTAAATTAAATAGATCCTTCTTTAATTTTGAAATTAAATGAAAAAAAAATGTCTTATATCTCTTTGAAACACGACTCAACAACTGCTGGCCGGGAAAATGTGTAAAACACTGTAAAATCTGATGGCATGTGTGTTCTCATGCCTCATTAGTATTAGCATCTTCTATCATGCAAAACAGCGGGCTATTTATATTCACGCGATATGGTTCTAATGCACAAAAAGTCCTAACACAGTGGTTCTGGAACCGAAAATGAGCAATAGATACTGATTTTATTGGATTGTGGCAAACCCAAGCCTTTATTATTATAAAAGAGCATATATAGGCCTAACCACTTATATTCTAGGACTGCTCTGAATTTTCCTAAATTAAACGTATAGTGTAAGTATAGTGACTCTGAGTGGTAAGTCATGTTGTCAAAGAATGCAAATTAAAAAAACATAATTTGAGCCAAAATCCTTCGGCGTCCAGTGCTTACTTGTAAAGGAAACAAAGAACTGACAAGACATTATTTTATGATATGTTTAGGACAGATGCTGAATATTTGACTGGAGGTTTGTCTACTCCACTGTATGACATAATGAAGAGATTTCCAACCAGGAGAGTGAGAGTCAATGAAAGCAGATCAGGCAGACCTAAAAATAGAGCTGGCTGATGATTGAAACAGTTGCCACGGACACACGGCACATCAGATGACAGTTCGGAGCGGGTCACAGAGATGGCACACAGTAAGCACCACGGAAAACGAATCGCTGGGTTTAAAAACAAACGGGACATCCACGGGCTTCCACCCAGCCTGTTTGCTTTCAGTTTGATTGACTCGTGATGTACCGATGAATTTCCTCCCCGAGGACGAAGGCTCACGGTACGCAGCTCGGTGACGGTCGCAACTCGAGGGCATCACTTCCAATAGAGGAGATAAAACATAGCACTAGGACGTGATGAACGAGGGGCAAAACCAGGAACGGAGACGGATCCCTGCTTTGCAAACAGCTGCAGAACACGTGCCCTGCTCCCTCCGCGAAAAGCGCTGTGTGCCAGTTTTAATAATAACTTTTACTTGTAAAGGACCTTTCCAAACCCAGGATGCTGCACATAAATGATAAAGGCAAAAGGAGTACAGTTAAAAAGTAATTAGAAAGAAGAAAAGAAACAAGAATATACAGGTTCATGCAAATAGAACGTAGGTCAATCAGACCCTAGTAAAGAGATGACTTGTGAGTTGGGATTTAAAGGAAATCAAGAGAATTTAGTCTCTTGTAGAGTCTGAGGATAACATAACTCCATGACAACGGAGCAGCAACAGAAAGAGCACGGTCTCTGAAAGTCCGAGATTTACTCCTGGATACAGTGAGGATGCATGCTTTACAGTGAGCAAAGGACCAGCCTCAACTGACCGGAGACCGGAAGAGGGATGCATGAAGATGTATGATGGAGCCAGATTTTAGTAAGCCTTAAAAGTCAGTAATGGGATCCTATACTGAAAACATGACTTTATTGGCAACCAAGGTGGGGACTCAAGTGCAGGAGTGATATGCGGCCAAGGTCTGGTGTGCGAGATTTTTGTTTCCCCTGGTCTGTCAATCACGGGGGTGTACTATGCCGTCAGGCACTATACAACTGCGTTCGAGTGCTACAAGCCCTACACTTTTTAAGAGTCAGAACTCCTGTTCTTCCCTCTATAAGACACAAAGAACATTTGGCATCTCAACGGTCTAATTGGGCAGCTTCCCAAAGCTCAAGCATTTGTGTCAGAGGCATCGGCATGTTCGCAGAACAAACTGCTTTTCAATATTGACCCGGTGACCCTTACTAGAGCTATGACGACAAAACACATTTAGCAGTAAAGTAACTGTAATTAAAAAGAAAAAAAATGTTTTGTTAAATAAAAGTTGCAGAACCTGTTGTAGCTCTTTCCCCGCTGTTAATATATTTTGATTTTGTCCCACTGGCTCAGCATTTTGTCTGAACAGCCAATAAGCCAGTTTTTCTTCTATTAAACGCAGAATGCCATCCAACTGTTATGTAGGTAAACGTCACGTTTTTTAGAATAAGAATCAACTACTATACCACTGAACTGCAATCTTACCAAATACTTTATTTTACATTTTTGATGCATTATAATATTGGCCATGCATTGCATCATTATAATAATTCTGTTAGAAGCACAAAATTTGCCTAGGCACCGTCATCTCACAATGAGCAAAAACATCGAGAGTGTCACTTAAAATTAGGGGATAATTATTCAGGCTACTGGCAACCCTGTGCCTTTTTTAAGGTAATTTTCATTGTTCATTCAGATACTGCACATTCCTGTTAAAGAATTGCATGCATTTTCCCCTTGTGCACATGCTTGCTATCTTTCCTTCATGATCATAAATCATTTGTAACATCTTAAAAATAAAAGGAGTTCCTGATTGTATAGTACGTATTTGCAGGTTACCCATAATTAAAGGTTTTCATTTAGCCCATTTAGTAATACAAAGTAAAAAGAGCACTCAATAGTCTCCAACAATTGCAGGCTTCCAATAGGTGCCAGGGCCAATACACTACTTAGGGACATGTGACAGGTTACATACAAACACCAGGAGGTCTTTCGCCACCCTTTAGACTCATTGGTTAGTAGCAGCTGAGCAAGTCTCAGGATTTAATCAGACACTTCCCAAAACAAGACAAGGTTTTGTCTTTTGCAACGTGACTGTGGGAGAGCTTGTTCCAGGTTCTGGAAAGCCCTGCAATTCCACAGAGAGTCAGGACCTCGGTTTTACATCTCATTTCAAGGGTGGCGCCTTTTTTTTTTATACAGTGTAGTGTTCCCATTACTATACTGGGGAATTAGGACCCATACAGACCGCAAGGTGAGCGCCTCCTACTGGTCCCCACTAACACCTCTTAGCCAGGCTCCTTCCTGCTGAGCTTCAGTGTTTTGCCAGTTGTGATTTGCAGGGTGGTAGCTGCTGGCTATTCCTGAAGACAGCTTTAAACCACCATCATATTATTAAACTGGTGCAAAACTTCCAGTTGCTCAAGTACTTTTGTTTCCATATTTTGGTTGCTGGTGAACTTGGGAGTAGCTTATCTATATAATTCACTGATAATCCGATATGACCAGCTGGTAAAACCAGTCTGACTGGGCTCACAAATATGTTGCACTTTGTCCTACAACTGGATCAAAAAAGGTGGCCTAAGTTTAGGTTAGCCCTTAACCTTAATATAAGTTCTACACAGTAATTTTCCCCTCATTTTAGATGCGTTTATAACAGCATCAGAAAATGTATTTCATGCCCACTGATTAATGACTTTTAATACTGTGTACTGAGGCTGCAGGAGCATAACCAGGTACAGCAGGTGCTACACTTCAGAGGAGGATGAAGTGGAAAACACACAAAGACGCTGGAATGCTTCAAGATGAAAAAGTCCTATACTGTACATATGTTATCACAGATGTGCTTTTCCACAGTAAAGCCAATGTTATAGTTCACACAATTACACAGTCTTCAAAATTTTACTTATAATAAAAGGAGGCATACAAAAAAAGCACATGAAGCCTAGATACAAAACTGCAGTTGTGCATGTTGCCAGATGTACTTGTTTTCCGAGTGCTAACTCGCATGCCAACTACTTAAAACCAGTCAGAGATAAGGAGCTGGATTACACTGACAGTGACACTACTTTTCAGCCTACATGTAACATGAACTACTCATGCTGTGACAAATAGTAATTACTCTGTATTAATTAATCCAAAAGGGCTCAGACATACTCACGGCAGCCAGCCCTAGGTGGGCAATTAAGTGCTAACAACCTCAGGAACAAAGATTAGTAGTTTGGCACTGCAAAACATGTGACAAAAGGCAGACACATTTGTTGAGTGAATAGTTATTTTAGCAATTTACAAAGTGAAACCATCTCAGAGTTCTGCAGGAACGCATTTTCCTCACTAAATCTCTCAATGTAAACTTAGCATGGTGTTGGCTGGATTAGTTTATACTTTCTACTAGATAGACACCCAAACCAGAGGTGGAGAGTTAATATGACAGGATATCACAAAATATAATGGGTTTTAAGCTCTTTAAGAAACACTGCCTCTTGTGTCTGAAGTCAGCTCAGTGCTTTTCACCCACTCTTCCATATCTTTGCAAAGACCCCCTTAAGCCATCTCAGCTTACATAACTTTCATTTTTTAAAATATTGCTAAACATTGTTCACCTTGCCTTTCACCAGCATGGGTTTAAGCAACATTTCACAATTAAAGAAACTCAACCTACTGGTGGATATGCTTAACACTTATTGAAGAGGGAAAAGAAATATCAAGACATAATATGCCGGCAGTCTCTTGATTTACATAATACAGTTATGTGAATATTCAAGTGGATCACAAAGCCGTTAGATCAAGACTAGAAATATCTACCATGCAAACTGCTTA